AGTCAACAACTCACCACACTTCTAATGTCCAATATTGGTTGGAAGAACATGACAGCAACTTCAGCCAGTTTTCTTGGCTAACATAGTCACTGGATCTCAGTTTAATTGGAAGAACATGACAGTCAGCTTTCCTAGCCAGTACAGTACCACACTTCTAATGTCCAATATTGGTTGGAAGAACATGACAGCAACTTCAGCCAGTTTTCTTGGCTAACATAGTCATGGATCTCAGTTAATTGTTTGGGTTATTATGCATGCTGTTCACGTAGACGCAACAGCAACAAACAAGCTTGGTGCTTGAACAGAAAGTAAAAAGGTCATGTTAACAATGGAAAAGAAACACTAATAACGCGGTTCCATAATTTTTCGAAAATTATTTTTAAAGTCAAACTTTACTGTGCACTAACAATAAACCAAACTCTTCATTTATATAAAAATAAATAACTTACTTATTTGTGCAATTATAATATAAACTAGGACATATTCAAATGATAAATTGTTCAATCTGTTATACTTATCGGGTACCTTAGCATTTGATTGCAGGCATAAGTAAATATCTTATCAAAATATTTAAGTATTTCAACATTTCATGACATTGTACATCGACTAGTTACCTTTTCAAGGAACCACCAGCTAATACCGTGATAATACTGTGTACATACCCCATATGTGATTTGTTCGATCAAAGCACATATCACGAGAGATGTGATCTGTAAGTTAATCACAAATGCGGAAAGGAACATTATAGTGGAAATGTGCTTAAAGCATAATTTCTACTAAAACACAACATACTGTATTGAATTAGCATTTCCTTTCAAAAATGATTTACTTAATAACGAAATGTCGTATATACTAAATCAGATATGTACTTGTATGAAATTATGAGTAAAAGTAAAGAGGAAGATGCTATATCAACTACACCTGCAATATCAAATGCCGACGAGGCCTTTCGTAAATACCAGTACTCAAAATGCCGGCCGGGACACGAAAGTGTAGTCTAGGCGCTATTTATGTCATCGACTTTCATTAACAACAACTTAAAGTTTTAAGGTAAGAATTAATATTATTTATAACTCCAATTGTTTATTGTTATTATTTGATTTGAATTAACTTTACTATGTCTCAGAAAAACCGGTGAATCAGTGAACTAGTCTTCTTGAATGTCAGCAAAAACCTGTGTTTCCATTTGTTGTTTTTTAATCGTATTATAATACACGTGATACATATCTTAAACTCTTATAAAACTTTAGTATTCTTGTTTTATTTGTTTCATCCTGAAACAGTTTGCTGAAGTTATCTGGAATACTGTAGGTGATACTCGGCGATAGATGACGTCACCTCCTGTCAAGTTGTAACTTTACATCTTTACTTCGTTGTTACAGGTAATTCTAGGTGGCGGAAGACGTCACTTCCTTTCGAACAAATTATTTGACAAAGAAGCTCAGAAATATGGGTTAAGAACAGATGGCAGGGACATGGTATCACAATGGGCTAAGGACAAGGAAGACCGTAACAGCACAGCTGTATACGTCACCAACCTCAAGGACTTCAAAAAAGTCGATGTGGACCAGACTGACTACTTGCTGGGTGAGTATTGAACTGACACTTTTAAATATAATTCTTGAAACTAGGCGAGAAAAAGAACTACTTGCTGGGTGAGTATTGAACTGACACTTTTAAATATAATTCTCTGTAAAACTAGGCGAGAAAAAGAACTACTTGCTGGGTGAGTATTGAACTGACACTTTTAAATATAATTCTGTACGAAACTAGGCGAGAAAAAAAATTGTATAGTGCATTAATGAAACGATAAATGTTTCATCAATAAGCTAAATAAATAGTTAGATATTTCAGGCAGGCAGTTTGAAATATGCTTTGGTGGCAAATGTAATCAAATTCGTCTGTGTAATAATTCATTATGAATTTGTTTTGTGTTCAAGTGCAAATTTACTCAACAGGTTATCTGCGCTGTGCCTATTGCAAATACATACATATACACATATATATACACACACACACACAAAAAAGGTTACGTTTAATTACGATTCATTAGGAAATTTTATCTTATCGATGAAAAGTTTCCTCGAAAATCAAAGCATTATAGATGGCACTGAATGTTGCCATTGTTACTCAAAATAGCCCCCTCCCCAGTGGCACAGCGGTATGTCTGCGGACTTACAACGCTAGAATCCGGGTTTCGATACCGTAGCTTTGTGCTTAATTACAAACAAACGTACTTATAATAGTTTTTTTTTTGCACCTATTAAGGTTAATTAATATATGGTGATCTTTTTTTAGCATATATGACAGTTTCATGCCACAATACTAAATTTAACTTAGTTTTAAACTAAACACGTTTTAACTTTTGAAATGAAACTACTGGATTCCTGGAGGCATAAAGGTTTAGTTGAAAGCAATAATATCAGCATCAGTTTTAAAAAAAAAACTCTTTTAAGAATTTTGTTGATATAGATAACAAATGAAACTAAAAACGCCGAGAATTTTAACCTCAGTATTTTTGTAATGGACAGTTTGGGGATCCTACTGTATTGATCGCACATGCTTTTACCATATTTTAGTTACACTTTCTTCCTTTCCTGGCGGGTTTGTTTGTCTTTGAAGTTCGCGCAAAGCTACACGAGGGTTATCTGCGCTATCCGTCCCTAATTTAGTAGTGTAAGACTAGAGGGAAGGCAGCTAGTCATCACCACCCACCGCCAACTCTTGGGCTACTCTTTTACCAACGAATAGTGGGATTGACCGTCACATTATAACGCCCCCACGGCTGAAAGGGCGAACATGTTTGGTGGGACGGGGATTCGAACCCGCAGATTGCGAGTCGAGCGCCCTAACTGGCAGGTATTGGGGTAATTAAGAAATCAATTAATTACCTAGCTCGCGATTGAAGTTGAATTATTTAACCAAACGGTGAGATAATTAAAACAAATAATTATTACTATAATTTTTCCGCATCGTTCAGAGGAAAATTTGACATAGCCAGGTCTGGCATGGTTGAGGAACGCGATACTCGGTTTTAGTTTTAATGACACACAAACAAAATGCTGCATGTTATCATTATTATCTGAATTGCTTGTAATTAAGCACAAAGCTACACAATGGGCTATCTGTGCTCTTCCCACCACGGGTATCGAAACCCGGATTCTAGCAGACATACCTCTGTGCCATTGGGGGCTATCTGAATTGTAACTCTACATGTTTCCACATTATTTGTAAAGTTAATATTATTGTTAATGATTTTGTAAGTGTGTATGGTAGGGGGGGAGAGGAGTGATTGAACCATTTACTTCAGTTTTAAGTGATTCTTGAATTCTTTCCTAGACTCCATGTTAGATGCTAGTGACCTCTAGTGCCAATTCCTTTGATTTAAATTTAATTTTGTTCTTCCATTCTCAACAAGTGTACCTAGTTTGACACGTGTTTAGCACACAAAACTCTGCTTCAACACGATTTTTGTATTAATTTATTCCTTACTTGTATCGACACCAGTTAAGTTGAACCTATTGCCATCTACTGTTCTTCTGAATCCTCGGCCATTAGTATACATCAAGGTGGTGTACGGCATGTGATCCACATCCGAAATATCTGCTATGCCTAGGATCGGATTTCCTCGATCCGGGTAACCGTTAATTGTTAAAACGTGAGAGTGATCAGCAGTAACAACAATTAAAGTGTCCTTCTGATTGGTCAAGAGTACAGCCCTCTCCACTGCTTCTTCGAATGCTAGCGTGTCTTCCAAAGCTTTCTTTGCAGTGCTCTCATGATGGGCGTGGTCAATTCTGCCACCTGCAAAATAAAATACAACAAAAATAATGTAATACTTTGTGTAGAGACATTTTCCAATAAATATATACTTTTTATAAATCAAATAAAATTTCTCTTAACAATTTATACGGAAGGTTTATGATCTTGAGAAGTAAAAATATTATAACTATTCTTAGTTGTAGTCCACTGTTTATGTCAGAATGTAAGTTCCATGTTGTTGAACTTTCAGTTGTTTCCTCTAAGTTCGTAGCCGCCAACCGGTTTTGGTGTCGGCTTCTAAAAACACGAGGATGAGAACGTTAACAACAACCAGTCTAACGTGTCTGTTTTTATTCTATTCGACATGAAACCGGTACTTCGACATATTCGTCTTGTTGCTGAAGGGTGTACATGACAGAAAGGTTAGAATCACAATGCGTTAGGCTAAGACTTGAGGCAATTAAAAAAATCCTAGAAAAATGCAAAACCCCTTTAAGTCTTTCTTATTAAACGTTTTATATGTTAACTTTATTATAAGAATTAGAAAACTCTTTAGATTCGTTATATTCTATTCCTGATTTCTTTGAAACTACTGGAAAACAAGCACATTTTATTTTTAAAACTTCGTCTTAATTGTTGGCAATTTAGCAGATATAACTGGCCATACAAGTAGCAATACGTAACCAAATAACTGTACTTAGCTACGTTCTTACGTCATACTGGTAAGATCTCCTTTTCTTTCTTTCTTTTTGCTAATTATTCAGAGTTTACAAACTCTAAGATTTAGGATGAATACGTTCCAGAACATGTGATATTCCTAAGATATTCCTTATCAGTCATCGGTCAGGAACACTGAAATTAATGTTGAATAAGTTTTTGTGAGGACGGTGTATGTTGCTGCTAGAAACTACCAAAGCTTCAACCTTCCTTATTTAGATGTATTCGGGTAGAGGTTTTAATTTTTTCTATGAAAGTGTTCACGGAGCTTAATATCACAGATTAAGTTATAAAGAACATTTTGGTGCCCTGACCATCGATTTTTATGGCGGAATTTATTTCAAGTGTGTTACAAAATAGGAGAAATACAAAACGACATCAATAGAGAAAAAAATGAACTACAGAGGAACGTCGATACCAGGATAAATCATATAGAATTTAAATGCAAGAGACAAACAAACCAGTCATACCTCTTTCCGCATCTGTCCAAGAACTAAGTACTCAAACACCATGTACTATTAAATATGGAGAAGGAGAACCATTTGGTTTACACTTGTTACTGCTACTCCTGTGTCATCTGTGATCACAGGCTTTTTAAGGGTTCCCCAGAGCTGTCTGAAAGTTTAAGGGTTCTTGTGTCCCACTAGTGAGTCTAGTCCGTCCAGAAGGTGAAAGATTCCACTGCACTACTACTGTGTGAGAAAGTTGGAGGTTTTCTTTGTGTTGCTATACTATTTAAAGCTCTGGATACAACTGTGGTAACCGACACTTATAGTGGTGAGTTTAAAGTGAAATTATTACCGATTGTATTGTAACAACAGAGTAGAGGAGAATAATTCGTCTTGTCAATTGTGTTCTAAAATAGCTGAACCAGCCGGTGTGGACTTTGACGAAAAGAAACAATTATTTAAAGCTCTGAATACAACTGTGGTAACCAACAGTGTAATGAACATTTATATATGCATTTGACTTGCTTTAATATATATTTTAAAACAATTGGACTGTGTGCTGTTTGTTTATTGTTGAACTTTATCGCCAACAAGTAACAGACACCTACTGTAAAGAATCTGGCCCATACCTAAAAATCGACAATCTGTAAACTCATGTATTTATAATTATGATCTGTAAACCCACATGTTTATAAGGATAATATGTAAACCCATGTATTTATAAGGATAATCTGTAAACCCATGTATTTATAAGGATATTCTGTAAACTTACGTAGTTATAATGATCTGTAAACCCATGTATTTATAATGATGATCTAACATCCTGTATTTATAATGGTGATCTAACATCCTGTATTTAAAATAATGATCTGTAAGCCTCTATATTTATAATGATTATCTGTAACCTTACGTATTTATAATGATCTGTAAACTCCTGTATTTATAATGATGATCTAACATCCTGTATTTATAATGGTGATCTAATATCCTGTATTTAAAATAATGATCTGTAAACACGTTTTCTGTATGTGTTTAGATGAGCGAATGTATTTATACTGACCTTCAACCAATAAAAAGAAACCATTTCGGGTTTTTCTGCAAAATGTTTATAGCTTTTTCAGTCATTTCTGCAATAGATGGTTCCCCGTTATCTTCTTTGTTTCGTTCAATTTCATATTGCATGTGACTGTATTCAAATAAACCTGCAAAAAAAGGTAAAGCATTTAAATGATTGGTTTGGTTTGGTTTGAACTTCGCGCAAAGCTACACGAGGGCTATCTGCGCTAAGCGTAGCTAATGTAGCAGTAAGAAACTAGAAGGAAGGCAGTCAGTCTTAATCACCCACCGCCAACTCTTGGGCTACTCTTTTGCCAACGAATAGTGATATTGACCGTCACATTATAATGCTTCCACGGCCGAAAGGGCGAGCATGTTCTTATTGATGTGAACCTATTACTTGCTATAAAGTGACAACATTGGGAACAGAAAAGACAACACTCGTTTCTGTAAGTAAGTCAGTTATAGGGCCCAGCATGGCCAGGTGGTTAGGGCTCGAATCCCCGTCCCACCAAACATGCTCGCCCTTTCAGCCGTGGAGGCGTTATAATGTGACGGTCAACCCCACTATTCGTTGATAAAAGAGTAGCCCAAGAGTTGGCGGTGGTGGTGATGACTAGCTGCCTTCCCTCTAGTCTTACACTGCTAAATTAGGGACGGCTAGCGCAGATAGCTCTCTTGTAGCTTTGCGCGAAATTCATAACGAACAAACAAGTCAGTTATAAACATCACAGGCTGTGATCATACATATATATATATATTAACATCAGTAAACGAGGCAAATCATCACTTCTCAACTAATATGTTATATCACTGTTATGTTAATCTTTGAAAGCATAGTTAAAAAGCTGTATTATGTATCCAACCTTTAATCAAAATTCCGAAAGGTCATACCTTTAGACACATAATTCAATCCTGAGTTTAACACGAATTTAAAGTTCATTTTGTACTACTACTATACTGTAAAATAGTTAAAATGATATTTTATTTATACTTTTGATAAATAAAGATACAGATCTTTCTTTCTACATTACATTGATGTTAAATGAATGTGTTAGGGTTACGTTTGAATTATTAAAACATTCTTTGATCTAGTGTGAAATTAGAAATAATATTTATGCACTGGTAATATCTAAACGTTAAAGGTTTCGTGGATGTCGCCATACTGTGTTAAAGCAAGTATACGTCCGAAAGTTGAAGAGTTCACTCGAATCGTATTGCTGTATTGCCATACCTATACACTATACTGTGTGGAAACTGAAGAGTCCATAAGTTCCACTGTGTAATCTAAAGGCTTAAGTGTTCTCCTGTATCCATGTGCTGTCTAGGATTTGAAGCTCTGTGCTGCTATACTGTCTATGATTTGAAGGGTTCTTCTGTGCCATTGTATCTTCAAGGAAGATATGTGCTACTATAATGTATAGAAGTCCATTAGTTCCACAGTGTTAACTAGAAGTTTCAGGAATCTTCTGTACCCATACACCATCTAGGATTTTATTCATTCTTTTGTGCTACTTTATTGTCTGTAACCTAAAGGTACCCCATATTCCACCCTACTGACTAGGATTTCAAGGGTTCCTCTGAGCTGCTATACTGTCTGGAAGCTTAAGAGTTCGTCTGTACCACTATATATCTAAAAGTTGAAGGATTACTCTGTGCCAAGGTGTTGTAATGGAGTCAGAGCGTTCCTCTGTACTGCTATACAGTCTAGAAGATGAAGGATTTCTCTGTTTCACCGATCAGCCTAGAATTGGAATATTTGTGCCATTATGTTGTCTAGAAACTGAAGAGTTTCTCTGTATCTTTATACTGTATAGAAGATGAGAGGCTCGTCTGCCCCTCTATTCCTTCTAGGAGATGAAGGGTTTTACTGCACTACTACTCTATGAGGAAGCTGGAGGTTTCCTTTGTGTTGCTATATTGTTTAGAATTGGAAAGTTCCTTGGTGTTGAAGGATTCTTCTGAACCATTATCCTGTTGAGGAGTGGAAGGATTATCCTAAACCATTATCCTGTTCAAGAGTGGAAGAGTTCTCCTGAACCACTATCCTCTTTAGGAGTTGAAGGATTTCTCTGAACCACTATTCTGTTTAAGAGTGGAAGGGTTCCTCGGAATCATTATCCTGTTTAGAAGTGGATGGGTTCTCCTGAACCACTATCCTGTATAGGAGTGGAATGATTCCCCTGAATCACTATCCTGTTTAGGAGTTGAAGGGTTCCAATATCCTGTTTACGAGTGGATGGGTTCCCCTGGACCACTATCCTGTTTAGGAGTGGAAGGAGTCTCCTGAACCACTATCCTGTTATGGAGTGGAAGGGTTTTCCTGAACTATTATCCTATTTAGGAGTTGAAGGGTTCGCCTGAATCACTATCCTGTTTAGGAGTTGAAGGGTTCCCCTGTACCACTATTCTATTTAGGAGTTAAAACAGCCTATTTTGCTGATTCTACGTTAAAGGATCCCATTGTGTTATCGTAATTTATAGAAAAAATTGAAGAGTTCCTTTGTGCTTGTATACTTAGAAAATATACAAGCACAAGAAAAATGACAAAATTTTATTTGTGCATATAAATTTATTTCTTTATCAAACGATAACTTTCGGTAATGATGATTTATAAACTCCTGAATTTATAATGGTGATCTGTAAACTCCTGTATTTAAAAATAATTGGCTTAAATTCCTTTACTGAATGAGTTTACACTCAGAATCTTTATTTTTTTGTCCAAAATACAATATTATTTGCTAGTTATTTGTACAAATTCATTATTTGTATTTATTGAAACTACGAATTTTGAATCACTTGTATAATTTTTAGTATAATCCCTTCGAAACTGTTTGGAAATGTTTAATTTACAGATCTTCCATCGCAACATTTAAAGCATGCTTAATTCTTTTTTATGCACAATAAACTATCTGCGTTTAAAACACCGCAGAGATTAAACTCTGAATTTAATAGTTATAAGCCGAATCACGGGAGGGGAGCGGGCAAAACAAGACTTACTTGCATCGAGTACTTTCGAACCAGATTTTATTTCTACAAGCATCTTGATATTGTCCATAATTAGTCGTGTTTAACGGTTTAATATCTAACATGATTTTGCAGTCCAGTGTTTCAAGGAAATGCACTTTTTCCAAACGTATGCAGAAAAATGCAATAAATTCCATTTTAAGAAGGTATTAAAGACCCCATTTATCTATTTAATTTTGATATATAGTAATGACAGAATATATATTTGTAATGTTGTATGATAAACATGATTCACTGTAGTTCCTTATCCACTTGTTACAACTGTTAAACATGGAGTTT